TATATGGATAGTATTTATTTTTTACAATAACAAGCTGAATGAAAACAAGCAAAAAATTAAAAAGTAACGACTTTCTACTTCTTGCCTTTTTTAAAAATGTAAGGAGTTAAAGTAAAAAGTAGGCTGAAAAATAATTAAGTACAGATACACAAAAATTCTACTTAAGTACAGTAACAAAGTATTTGTACTTAGTTTACAACTCTGCTAAGCAGCGGGTCAGAATGAACTACAGGTCGACATGAAGAAATTTATAGTTATTAGAGGTTAGTACTGATGTTAAAAACACTATATTTTAGGTTTTCCTTTTTATAATGTTGACAATGTTTAATCTATTATGTTTTGATTGATATAGATTAGTTACATGTCCGAATTATAAACAACACATAATTAAAACGTTATAACAACAGTAGGTGAGGTTTTTGTCTGAATGCCTGTGATTCAGCCGTAGGTCAGTAGGGGGCGATCTCAGGCATTGAAGACTCTGTATAAATGGATCAACTTCCTGGTTTTTGGCAGTGTGGTTTCCTGTCAGCTCCGGTGACAATAAAACCTCACTCTGTTCCAGAATTCTGTTGTTGGATGGTTTTATTCCTCCTACCAATCATTTTATTTAACAGTGGAGGTTTTCATATTGACTCCAGTCTTTTGAATACGTATTTTCTGACAGACAGGTTGGTCAAACGAGGGTGTAATAAAACAGTTTCCAGATCTACCTGATTTCTCCGAACACGCAGCCGGCCTTCAGGGTCACGAACACGATGCTGTTGTCAGGTCCTCCCACCACCTGGACCGCTCCACTTTTGATGATGTACATCTCCTTACCGATGTCTCCCTGTGGAGGAGACGGAGTCAGAGCTCTGCTGTGTTGGGTTTACAACAAACAGGTGGGCTCACCTTTTTTACGACGAAGTCTCCAGGTAGATAAATGATGGACTTCAGTCTGAGTAACATGTCCACCAACATCTGCTGGTCACAGCCCTGAAAGATACACTTTGTTATTCGGGTACGCAGGACTCTTTTAAAAGAAGACTTTGCTGAATCACCTGAAAAAGTGCAATCTTCTGGAACGTGGCCAGGTTGATGTCCACAGCGATGGCGATCCTCATCACCAGAGGCATCTTGTCCAGGAGCTCAGACTCATCTACAGAAAATGCCACAAAATCATTTATATACATCAATTTGTACAGATTGTTCGTAATTAGCAAGGATTTTACCCTATTTTGCAGGTAATCAGACATATGGAGAAATTTTTGTTGTTTTTTTCCAAACATTTAACTTCAAATTTATTGAACGTCTCAAATCCTGTAAGATTTTTTAAAAATCCAAAAAAAAAAAAATTAAAAAACCACTAAATAACGCGCTCTGCAGCAAACACGTGCCACAAAATCAAGGCTTTTCTGTCAGTACCAGTCTGCCTAACCACAACCTAACTGTAAACTAACCCCAGCCCTAACCCTACACCCAACATAACCTCAACCCTAACCCTACCTTCAAACTCAACCCAGACCTAACCTCATACTCATCTTAAGCCCAATTTAACCCTAATCCTAACCACAAATCTGTAACCCCAAATTTAACCCCAATCTATCCTCAAACTCAACTTTACGCTAAACCCAATCTCAACCCAAACCCAACCCTACCACCAACCTCAACTCTACCTAACCTCAACCTAACCCCAACTCCAATGCCAACTGAGGTGTAGAAACCACGTCTTCTGGTTGAAGTTGAACTGCTGTTGCTCGATGAAAAATGACTCTGAAAAACAGGCTGGATTGAACAGCAAGAACCTTTATTTTGCAGTTCAGGAGAATTACAGCCTAAAAAAACCAAATTGTGGCCTCCAAGCCAAAGGATTYACCAAGTAAGAAAGATGGAGAAMGAAGGCRAAGAACAGGGGCGTACAAAGCTCTTTATAGGTTTTCCTCAGATGTACATAAATCTTGTCACGGTATACTGTACCTTAAGCATTCCTCTTCCAAATATGGTAATATGTACCAAGCTCTAAAGCTGGAAACTCCGAGGCCTCACATCTGTGCATTCCTAAGACAAAACCCCCACTCTTAGACACTACACAACCTAATCCCAACTTCAACCCCAACATAAATCTAACATAACCCAACCAAACTCCAACCGAAAAACCTAACTTTGATTTTATCCCCAACCCACCTTCAACGTAATCCCAACCACACCCCAACCTCAACCTAACCCAAACCTATCCCTGACCCCAACCTCAATCCTAATCCCAACTTCAACCCAACCTAACCCCTACCTCAATCACAACCTAACCTAAACTGAATTCATACCTTAGTTCTAGATAGAACCCCTGACCCACCAATGGTGTTTCTCCCAATAGGGACTGGGCTTTTGTCCCGATAAGTAACAGGTTCCTCACCAGGCTGTGTGTACCAGAAAAATCAACAATCATAGCAGGTAGCAAAACATGTAAACAAATATGTTTATATCATATAAGAGTACTACAAATTTTTTGTGCAAATTAAGGACTTTTCAAGACCAGTGATCAGCAGGTCAACATCTGAAGGGGTTGACATGTATGCATCTGGTGCAGAACTATTCATTTGCAAACTAGTGTGCAAACTAAAATCAATTTCTCACCCAACATCCCCTGAGAAGCCCAGGTGTAGTTGTACCAGGTCCGAACCCTGTTCTGGACCAGCTTTGGGATCGTGTAGGTGTTCATGTAGGCAACGCACCCGTCCATCGATGCCCTGAAGTACGTCTGAGCTGCCGTCGCTGCTCCGATGACGTCTCTCATCTGGAACCAGAGACAAATTTTAAAAAATGAAAGAGAACCAAAGACCAAAATGAAATGAAATAAGGAAATAATTGATCCACCTGTCCAATCAAACTGGAGAACACGAAGACACCGACAAAGAAGTTCGTCATCTGAAACATGATCTCGAAGAGAGTCACAGGTTCTGGAAGGCCGCCGATGTTGATGAGACTACGGACTGCGAAGTAATAACAGCGCAGGTAACTGGGAAAAAAAACAAAACCAGTCAGAACAGAATCCTGATCGGAGTTTATTTAAATGAAATCTGAACCCGATGATAGACGAGCCTCAAGAGTTTGTGATTCAGGTTTGTTAGGAAGATGAACCGATGAAAGGAGTAATGGACACACAAAAGACTGAAGTAAAGGACAAATATGGATTAATAGAAGGGTAAATACACGAGTACTACATGTTCTATTTAACTAGAACATTCAATATTTGCAGAAAAAAGATGCACAAAATAGCTTCAATTGCAGAAAACAGCTGAAAGAGTCCAAAATTAACACAAAGAAGCAAATAGAAACAGTAAAAAGAGCTAAAAAAGAGCAGAGCTGAAAAAGCAAAAAAAGAAAAAAACCTGATGGTGAGAAAATAGATTTATGAAAGAATAAATACATGAATACTAAATATAATGCACTATTTAACTAGAAAATTWGATTTTTGCAGAAAAAATGAAGAATTTTTGCAATTTGTTGTAAAATCGTAAAAAAAGCTGAAAATAGCACAAAGAAACAGAAAACATATTTGATGAATTAAGAAAGAAAGAAGTAATTAAAATTATATCAAAAATGAATTGAGCTGAATAAGGCTAAAAAGTAGCTTCAATTGCAAAAAACAGCTGAAAGAAGCATAAATTAGCAGAAAGAAGCTAACAGAATCACAAAAAACTAAATTAGCAGAATAGCTGAAAAAGCAGAAAAAAGCTATAATTTACACAAAGAAGTAATAAAAAAAACAGAACAAAATGTAAAGTGCAGGAAAAGTTTAACTATTTTGAAAGATTGTTGAAGACCGCTCCATTAATGTAAACAAAAATGGCTAAAAAAGCTAAATCTCTCCAAAAGTATGATTTGCTGAAAAACCAAAAGTTGTGGCTGTAATTGTTGAAATAGCATAAAAATTATGGAAGAAAAAAAAAGGATCATCTGAATACAGACTCACACGTGGACCTGATGTACAAAGAACTCAGAAGAACAGCCCAGACAACAAATAAAAACATTTAAATCTAAAAATACACACGCTGTTCCCCTCCCGTYGTAGACCCACGTGGTCGAGGCCAGGCCCTGGAACACCGAGGCCACGTAGTAGGCGCAGGCGTTAAGGTGCAGAATGTAGAGCAGGTACCCTGTGGTCCGGGCCACTCTGAGTCCAAACAGACAAGAACCGTCTTTAACTGGACCGGAACCATTTCTGGACCTGAACCTGAACCAAACATGTTTACCTCCAGATGTACGCTTTGTCCATGACGCTCTCCAGCCGGTCGCTGAACTCGAAGAACGACTCAAACTGAAACCAGACGGAGGAACAGAAACCGTGAGGATCTGACCCAAACCTGGTCCTGCTTCAGAGAAACCAAACCCACCTACCCTGACGAAGCGGTTCAGCCGGTACACGGAGGAGAAGCCGAAGTTCAGACTGAGGAGATCAAAGGGGATGATGCTGAGCAGATCCGTCTGAAAGTGAAAATATAAAGAAGAGTTASAGGATCAGCTAAAACTCTAAATGTTTACGTTTTAAAACCTCCCACCTTGAATCTGTAGGATTTACGATAATGAGCTTTAGTCAGAGCTCTGTCTTTCTGTGGGAAACAAACATAGATTCAGCAGAAAGTGGCTAAAGCGTCAGCAGAAGTAGCCGAAGAGTCGGCYGTTTGAGCTGCTTGACGACTTACGATGATGTCACCACCTTTGACGAACTGGAGCCGCGGCTGCCAGATGACCATGTCCACCACGTTCACCGCATCGCTGAGGGCGTCRAAGAAGATCCAGAACGGGTTGGCGGTTCTGCCGTGGCACGGGAAGGCCAGCCGGGCCGGGCAGAACCAAACGTTGTAGTTGTACGCCACGGCGACGACGGTCAACCAGGCGATGTACCGACGGTCTGAGGAGAGCAGGAAGGAAGCGTCGCAGAAACACAAACAATACTTTATCTTATTAAAATTATTTAGCTGTTTCTATAAGCAGAACATAGGACACAATTAGTAAAACAGTAGCTAAAAGCTAAATGTAGCTAAAACTAGATGTAGAAATCAGTAGCTCAAAGTAAAAAAAAACAGTAGCTAAAAGCTAAATGTAGCATTTTAGTAGCTACAAGACAGATGTATCAAAATAGTAAATAAATGAAGTAAAACATAATAAAGACTAAATGTGACAGAATAGTAGCTTAAACCTAAAAAACAACAGGTAGGTTAATCTTAAATTACAATACAGTAGCTAAAATCTAAATGCTGTAAAACATGCTAAAAGCTAAATGTAGCAAAATATTAGCGCTAAACAAAGCAGGTGCTAAAAGCTCAATTTAACCAGTTAGTAGATCATGTCTAAATGTAACAAGGAAGTAGCTTAAAACTAAATGGTAAAACAGTAGCTCATGGCTAACTGCAGCAAAACAAGGCTAAAAGCTACAAAACAGTAGCTAAAGGCTAAAACTTGTAAAACAGTTGCTACAATGTAGCAAAACTGTAGCTTAAGGGRAAAAAAAGACAGTTCTATTGTTAAAAGCTCAATTATTTAAACCAGTAATTGAAAGTTAAATGTAGTTAAACAGGAAGTGTGTTRATGAGGAAAATTTATGTAAATTAATTAAAATAATAAAAAATGTATAAAAGTTACTAAAAGTCAAAGCAGTCTGTTCCTGACCGAGCTGGACGTTTTGATATACGAGGGATTAAAACTCAGTCTTGACTGAATGCTGACTCAGCTTTATTGTGTAAACAATGACTCAGCTTTATTGTATGAACACTGACTCAGCTTTATTGTATGAACACTGACTCAGCTTTATTGTATGAACACTGACTCAGCTTTATTGTGTGAATGCTGACTCAGCTTTATTGTGTGAATGCTGACTCAGCTTTATTGTGTGAATGCTGACTCAGCTTTATTGTGTGAATGCTGACTCAGCTTTAATGCATGAACACTGACTCAGCTTTATTGCATGAACACTGACTCAGCTTTATTGTGTAAATGCTGACTCAGTTTTGTGYGAATGCTGACTCAGCTTTGTGTGAATGCTGACTCAGCATTGTGTGAACGCTGACTCAGCATTGTTTGAACGCTGACTCAGCTCTGTGTAAACAAAGTCGGCTTTATTGCGTGAACAATGACTCAGCTGTTTTGCACAAAGGCTGACTCACCTGTGAAAGGATCGATGGTGCTTCCCAGAACAGAGTCCATCTTCTCCTCGATGGGGAGGAGGAGGAGGTCGAGGAAGTAGCMGCTGAAGTCCGGGAGGATCCTGGATTTCCTCCTTGCCTCCTCAGCCATCCTCTCCTCCTCAGCTTTCTGTTCCGCCTCCAAACGCTTCTCTTCATCCTTCTTCTTCTTCTCCTCTGCCTTTTTAGCAGCTTCCTCTGCTCTCCTCCTGTCCTCCTCCTCTTTAGCTCTGCGCTCCTCCTCCTTCAGCCTGACGTAGTCCTCCTTCTTCAAAACTGGTGCTGAGGAGACACAGAGTAGTAGTAGTAGTAGTAGTGGTAATTGTAGTGGTGGTAGTTGTAGTAGTAGTAGTAGTAGAAGTAGTAGTGGTAGTGGTAGTGGTGGTAGTTGTAGTAGTAGTAGTACAGTAGTAGTACAGTAGTAGTCCTGGTGTTTGGTGGTGACTCACTGACAGGCGGTGTGATGTCAGGAGACGTGGCGTACGGGTCGATGGATTTCTCTCGGAGCGACTCGTTTCTCTCCCTCAGCCTCCTGATGACACTTCTCAGAACGTCGTCAGTGTAGTGAGAGAAGACAACAGCTGGAGGAGCAGCTTCGTGGCTAAAAACATGAGATAAAAAAGAAAACAAGATAACAGAAAGAAGGAGGCTTCAGTGAAATAATTAGACTTTAGATTTATTTATTTATTTATTATCACCTGTGAGCAAAAGAAATTTTAAATAAAAATCACAAAGAGGATAAATTGGTATTGAAGAAAACTGGTTTTTCATTCATTTATCATTTATTYCTCATTTAGACACCAAACTGCACTGAGTTAACGTAGCTAAAACATTATCCATCGAGTTTCACTGGAGAAGATACTGCTGAAAATAAAGATGACCAAAAATTGTCATTTGTTTTCAAATTAGCTGAAAAGTAGCTGAAAAGCTGAATGTAGCATAAACAAGCAGAAAGAGCATGTTTRCTGAATTAAGCAGTAAGATGAAAAAAGCTGAAAAAAAAACTCAAATTTGCTGAAACAGCTAAAAAGTTGCTAAAGTGCAGAAATAAAACTAACAAAAAAGTTAAAAGTAGCAGAAAAAAGCAGATAGAAGTGAACTTTAAATAAGCAGAACAGCAGAAAAGAGAAGATAGCTGACAAAACAGAAAAAAGCTAAAATTAGCTGAAAAAACCTCAAATTTGCTGAAATAGCTAAAATGTTGCTAAATGGCAGAAATGAAATGAAAGAAACAAAAAAGTTTAAAGTAGCAGAAAGGAGTAGATAGAAGTACACAAAATTTTAAATCAGCAACATAGCAATAAATAAATATAAAAGCTGACAAAGCAGAAATAATCGAAAATGAGCTGAAATAATAAAAAAACAGCTGAAAGAATCATAAAATGCTTAAAATAGCAGAAAGAAGCTGATTTAACATTTAAATAAGCAGAACAGATGAAAAGAGCAGACAAAGCAGAAAAAACTAAAATTAACTGAAGTAGCTAAAGTAGCGATAAATGGCAAAAAAAAAAACAGCTGAACAAAGCTGATAGAAAACAAAAAAATGTTTAATCAGCAGAATGGTTGAAAACTTTTGAAATAGTAAAAAAATAGTAGAATGTGAAAGAACGTAGGACATAAAACTGGATCATCGAATATCGTGAACGCTTCAATAACGTTCAAACAATAAAACACGTAGAAGTCACGATTAAAAAAGACGATCAGCTGAATCCTACATGTGACCTGTGATGGTTCTCAGCCACAAACACCTCTAAGCTCTTAATCTCCTTTCCGGCTTTAGGGTCGTCCTGCAGGTCAGGCAGGGATCACAGCTGTCGATCAGGAACGTTTCCGTACTTTTCATTWGAATTATGATGACTCAGCATTAAATTCATCCAACAGATGGTTTATAAAAACGCTGCGATTCTGAAATTTGCCAACTTTTTCCCGACATATGAAGGCAAACAGGTCCTGCCTGCGGTTTGAGATGAAAGTTAAAGTTAACCCACTGCCGTTGCGCCTCTGAGCCAGCAGGAAGGTGGCCACAAAGACCGGCATACGTACCCTCCATCTTCTTCTGGATTGGTTGGAGCAGGAGGAGCTTCGGCTGGAGCAGGAGGAGCTTCGGCTGGAGCAGGAGGAGCTTCGGCTGGAGCAGGAGGAGCTTC